AAATATGCAATCTAGCTGTCTTCTAATAATATAGTCTTCTTCAGTCAAGCAAAAAATTTCGTTTCTACTACTGAAGCAATAGAGCCTCTGACTATATGTATTAATGTTTTAGCAAAATAATATGGCGCAGGGACTCGCATTAAATGGTTTAGAATCTGCGTACTCCCTCCCTTGAAAGCATGTCATATATTTTTTCTATTTATTTTTTCTTTATATACTTATAAAAACACTATTATAGAGGGCGTGATTGTCAGACTATAATTGTCTACATAGTGAGGAGAGGAAGACCCGATGAGCTTTCTGTAGTTTAGTCCACTGAGCTACGGGATAAGAAATAGTTTGAAAGTATCCACCTCGAAACTTAAATAAACACATAACATTTTCCTTTATCCTGGGCGTGATCATTATTCTCGATGTGGGACATGTATTAGGGGAAGGTGATGCAGACTTCATGGGTTTTAAATCCCGAACCACACCACAAAAAGTGATTCGAATGTATTCACCAAAAAAATTTTATTATTATTTGCAATAAAAAAAATTTTGTATATCAATCTAATAATTTTTTGAATATATATTCTCTAGCACATGACCCAGAGTGAAATCCGCCTTTGCTATTTTAATAAAGAATCTATAGCCCGGAAAACTTGGCGCACATACTCACAATTATTATTAAAATTTGAGAAATCTATATTAATATCTTTTTCTGAAAATAGAAGTTTCCAGAATTGAAATAGTCAATTTTTAAAGAAATACATGGATATAGTTTGCTATACAATTTACACAAATATCGCGTATATTCTGAAGTTTTAATGATGTTTACTTTGCCGTGTTTATCAATATGGTAATATTCAGGATTCAATAGCCATTTTAATATATAAGTCCATCCTGAATATTCAACGATTCTATAGCCCTGCCGATGTAATACTATAAAAGCAACTATATATGATACAAGAGATAATCGATTATTTAGCTGTTCTTTCTTCTTTTCTGCCCAGACGTTAGGAAGATAATGATCAAATAAAATAGATGAATTCTGATAATGTGCAGGCACGTCTTTAGCTTGAATTTTTTGGCCAAAATAATCTACATATCGATTATCAGGAATTCTTATATGACGAGAAGTTATACCTAAAAACTTCTTCTTGTTAGGAGTATTATCATTTCTCACTATATTCCAAACTCGACTTGCTCACGTCTCGGGTCTCAACTTGTAAGTCCTCCAAGCCCGTTGAAGAACCGTTACAGTGTTAATTATGCGAACTACAATCTTTTCTTGATTTCATTTTTATTTGAATATTGATAACCATAATCATAATAGCTCAAACCTTTACTATATATATAATAATATTTTCCGTAAATCTCCTCAATCTCATCAGAGCTAAGCATTGATATTTTCCCCTCTTTTTTCACATTCTTT